TTAATAATTCTACGTTGTGAGTGCGGCGTATTTGTATTTATTAACTAATAACTCATATGTTGCGTGTATGGCGTATTTGTATTTATTAACTAATAAATCATATGTTGCGAGTATGTCGTATTTGTATTTATTTATTAACTAATAACTGTACGTTGCGTGTATGGCGTATTTGTATTTATTAACTTATAACTCCACGTTGCGTTTACAGCGTATTTGGCGTACGCTCACGCGTCGACTGCAGGCATTGCGTGCGTTACTCGCTCTAGTTTCACTGTACTTGGAGGTGAATATTTGCATATAAATTACATAGTTTATTTCCACGTTTGAATATATCTGAGAACTGTGATATTATTTGATTTCAAATCGCATTTTATTTATCTGAACAATCGTGCGTTACTCACTCAAGTTTTCATTTATCATATATGGAAATGAATATTAGCATATAAATATAATCTATGATTTCGCATTTTGTGTAACACTACGATAAAGACCGTTTTCGACACTATGAAATTCTTTTCTTTTTGGGAGAAAAATGATTTTGACAAGATAATTCAAAATTCATAATTTACCTTTTATTTGTCTTGAATTGTGACTGACAGAAGCTGAACGAAATTACAAACTATGTAATGTGTTCAACAACTCATGTATAAACAATAACTTTAAATTAATATGATTTTGCATACAAACGAAAGAATTACACGATGTCGAAAACGGAAAATCTTTATCGTGATGCTACTTGCTACTTGCATTTCAATTACTTTTGAACATTCCACCATTCGCTACTTCTCAATGAGTACATAATGAAAATGAACGACAAACAACACGCTACAATACTTTAGTAACATGGCAAAAGTTGAACTTTGATCTTTGGACTCCGAGCAAAAAAGCAGCAGCGCAGATTGTCGCCCGGTTTTACAGATTGGTCATGGCGGCAGTCAAGAAACCGTGGCGGGAAGCTGCCACTGTGATTATTGCTGCTCGAAGTTCAGATGTATCAAACTATCAACGTGTTTCAAGCAGTGATTTTCATTCTGATCAGGATGGCTTTAAAATTCTTATGTTGAAAAGACACTCGAAGAGCAGTTCTTTTCCTGATGCATATGTATTTCCTGGTGGTACAATAGATAAGAGCGATTTCAGCGATGAATGGATGGAATTGTACGACAATGCGGGATTGACACCATCTCTGAAACCTCTGCTAGATATCGGTGGCAAGAGACCAGATATAATGTCAACCATTAGAAGTAGCCGAGTTCCTAATGAGATTGCCTTCAGAATATGTGCAATACGAGAGGCGTTCGAAGAATCCGGTCTGCTTATTGTAAAACCATCGGGAATCAGCAAAAATGAACACGGCCTTGCAAAATGGTCCAAAATTACGCAGTGTGTGAAAAAGATTGGTCGTAGAAAACTTTTACAATGCCGGCAACGAGTTCACGACAATGGCGCAGAGTTTTTTGACCTTTGCAAAGAACTGGCATGTGTCCCAAACGTGTGGGCGCTGTGTGAATGGAATATATGGCTGACACCTGTAGGTTTACCGAAAAGATATGACACAATCTTCTATATTTGTTGCCTTGACGACGTCCCTGTACCACAACTTCTTCCCGATGACCAAGAGATTGTTAAATCTACGGTAAGTCCCAATATTTGAAAAATATATTTAAATATGTCAGTAGTATACCATTTTAATATTTAATTTAATTTAACGCACATTAATAGTAGTTACCTAAAGACTGGCATTGTACAGCATTGTGGAGAACATGTAAATGAAAAAGGATTTGCTAGTATCATTCTATCATTGAAGCGAAAATAGCTGTGATTTTGGACATTTTTTGTTTAAATATGTAGATGACAAAATCTTACCGGAACATTGTTTTAGACACAATTGCTTGGACAATGTGGCATTACACAAGGCTAATGCCATAAAAAGCGATGTAAAAACTAAGGGTCGCTATTTCGTTGAAATCAGTTATATGCAGATGGGAACCCAAAAATGTGACCAACGACGTACACTATCTTTGGAAATGGTCTCGACAAATTATCGGTGAGAGACCATCGGAGAAAGGCCTAGCTTCTCAAAATGGGAAACAATATGACAATTCGGTAGGTTGTCTTCTTTTACATAATTTCTGTCGGGGCACAGGTCAACATGTGTGTTTTTTTGTTAGTTAGTTAGTTAGTTAGTTCATGGAAGGTACTAACGAAAGGAGCCACGACGCCAATCAAGTGGCCACTTAAGCCTCTTAACTGGCTTATTTCCTTTTTGTTTCAACCCAAAGGTAATAAGGCCATTGTCTAGCTCATCTTTGATGTCCATGATAGTTTGCGATTGTTTACACAAGTAACGAGTTAGCGGAGTATGATACAACCCCGCCATTTTTTTAATGTGACTATAAAATATATGCGCATTATGAAACTACGGTTATCACACATGCGCACTGGGTTTGTTTAGGTGTAAAAGGTCAAAATACGTATTTCACAACCGGAAATTCAACTGATGAACGTTTGACTTCACAAATTTCCCATGTTTTAAATATTAGCAACTGTAACTAGAACAAGATTTCGAGTGCATACAACAACAATTCCTAAGGACTCCTAAGAAATATTATCACAGAGAAAGTGTCTAGGCATGCTCTTCTATCGATACTATCTTTTCTGTTGGTGTTCGCTGATGTCCGGTGGTCAAAAATTTCGACAGTTTCGGGCGCCAAACCCACGCACTGACAATGGTACCATTGAACACCGTCCCAAGCAATCATTGATTAACTCTCTTTACCATTACAAATAGAAAATTCACGATATTTCATCAGAGTTTCTTCAATCAATGTTATATCTGACAATTTTCCATTAAGTTCGCCATTTTCAATATTGTACATGCGAGGTACGACTATCGCTTCCGAACATGCTCCGAATATTACCGAATGCTCGAGATTAGCATAACCCATTGTACGAAGGTGTTAAAAGCTAACAAGAACAATGTTTGTGAACAAACATTGACAAACGATCATGGGGTAAAGCTAAAACAATAGCGTCGTGGCTCCTTCCGTTAGTACCTTCCATGGTTAGTTAGTTAAATGCATAAGAAAATGTATCAATACATTTCTACATTTAGATAGATTTATTTATCTAGTGTTATCTTTATAAACAGTTTATATTATTCTAGTTTATTCAAATTACCCTATTATTTCGTTTACATGTTTTCTTATATCAAGAGTTACCCCCTATGAGCAATGGAATCGACCTCAAATATGCTAATTATTATGCAAGTGTTACCCATGATTCCTACTCTCGATGGATATGGCGGTCATCAATGGAGCCCACATTTGAATTTAGTTCATAGTTTTTCAAGTTTCCAAGGTTCGCTTGACAAAACCGGATGACTTCTTCTTGAGAGCCGGACGTAACCCTACGACTATCTATTTTCACTTAGATGGGATTTAACGTCGGTATATAGTGTATATGATATGCTTTCACTGTCCACATCTTTGCGAAGGCTGAGGGTTACGATGATATACCGATGAAATTGAACAAATATAAAAGAAATAGGGATATGGTCAATGATCACAATATTATCAATAGTCATATTAATCGGATGTCTGGGATTGCGGTTGTGTATGTATTGGGATATCATTAATGAGCCGTGGTGAACTAAATGGTTCATTTTATTTTATTTCCTCAAATCGAAGTTCTATTAATTTTCATTACTATTACTATTATTATTATTATTATTATTATTACTATTATTATTATTATTATTATTATTATTATTATTATTATTATTATTATTATTATTATTATTATTATTATATTTAATGTCTTATCTAGTGGCTTACACCAAAAGAGACAGTTAACCTATGGCTAAGTAAAACAATTAGACTAATCCCACCACAGATGTACGAAATGCTTCGACTTGTCAACTTTCGTAAATTCACTGGACTTCATCAATTCACCAAACAAAGAGAAAGGAAAGGGATTGAAAGATATTTTCCTGTTATGATCATAGCATCAGATGGCGTAATTGAAGTATATCCAGGTAAAATAACCTAACTGTGATCGTTGAACTGAACATCTAAAAAAAAACGACTAAACACAATTGTTCTGATTACAATTACGAATCAGATGGCGTTTGATATCATAAGTCATCCACTACAAAAGAAATCAATACCTGTTTTTAATTCATAAATACTATTCCAAACCCATGGTTCAAAAGATTTCCTTTTTTATGTTTAATAGATTTTGTTTGACAGATGTTATTTCATCAATTAATACACCTTTAATTGTTTACACGTATATTAATAGGTGACAGTTTATATCCCATGGTTCCAGACCCAACGAGACATTCTATAGTGGAAGTGGATGGAACTATGGAAGAAAACTTGCATAAGTGCCGCAATGTTAACAGAATCCATCCACTGGAATCTGGGCCATATTGTAATATAGAACCGACATATGGACATATCAGACCTGTAGATTGGAGAACATTAATTGATGTCAAAGGAAAACTGTGATGACTGAATAATTATAGATTACTGTACTGGAGATATTTGTTGTATGATAATACCAGCATTGGATTATTCTTAGGTGTATTCATCGAGACAAATATCTGTATTTACTGATTACCTGAGTAGGTTAACAAATTATGTGCCAGTTAATATATAAACAAATAAGTGGTAGCATTCTACTGTCCTGGATTGAATTATCCGGCAATTAAGATGGTGACTCAATTTTCTCAATATTTTGCTTGTGACAAGGGACGAAAAAGTTGTATATTACAAGTAATATTGATATGAAATATAACATTCTGAAGAAATGGCATATACTGGAGTGAGTTTCCAGGGTGATACTAGTTTGTCATTATACACAATGGTAGGTTATCTCCCATAATATATTCAGTGTTCTCCACAAGGGGTTTTAGGCGGGCGGCCCGCCCATCAAGTTTTACGGCCGCCCAGTAACTCTCAACACCCGCCCACCAACGTACATCCAGCTGAAATTATTTGTAAAAAGCTTGCATTGTTCTTCCCAAGCCTAAACAAAAAAAGTAGTTGCCCAACCCTTTATTTTGCTATTGTTTCAACTGTCCAAACATAAACAATGTCCATTGGAAGTCTGCAAGCAGCTATCAAGTGTATTCATGGCAATGTGTCAATCGCTTGAATTCATTGTCGCCCGACATTGTTGCCACTTATTGCTCACGATACGCAACTACAGTGGTTTCAATTTACAGCTGTATTTTTAATAATCGTCTTCCGATCATGAAAGAAAGAAGTAAATACGAACGAAATGTATATGCACAGAAAATAAACAAATATATTAGCAGATTGCATGTAAACTCGAACAAAAATTTAAATTCTAGCCGTATTTACAAAGTTCGCTCGATTTTCATTGTGAAAACAGCATGGAGAAGGCAAACTGATGACCTTTTGGCCTACCCCATTCAACGACCGTCTGCTACCCACCGCTGTTGGCGCTGTAACGATTTAGTATCTAAGTTGCATAGGGGAACAGCGCATTCTGGGTGTTCGTGTACTGAATTCGGAAAGCGGTAATAAACATCAAACATGGCTGCTGGATTAGTTTACCGCGAGTATTTGTAATTGAATACTATTTTAGTTATCTTTTCCACGTACTTTTTTCAATTTATCTATTTTTTATGTCTAATCTTTCGAGAACATATCAGATTCTTTTATTTTGCCGATTGCTAGCATTTTTTTCTTCAATTCCAAAACAATGTGTAAAAACGCAACGTATCGTGGCCGTACATGCGTAAATGCATCTTACCGTCCGTCCTTACTCTTTATGTGGTTATTTTTCTTTTACTAATATCTGATTTGTAACCCTTTTCATCCCCTCCGAGGGATGTTGTGTGTTAATAAATAAATAAATTGCACGTCGGCACGGGTGAGTACTGATGCCACAAATAAAAATGTTATGGATTTTGTTTTGACAAATTGTCCGTTTTGGCTTCGTGGGCAAATCATCTCGTATATTTTCTACACTATAACTCAATTATGTTTTGTACTTGCTCTTGGTTACTCGAATTGCATTTCATGAACGCAGAATAATTTGCGAACGCATAAATCACCGATTTCAAACATTTTGCATTTCGTAAATATTGATAGTGACCAATTTGTTTGTTATTCAAAAAATTGTAACATTTTCAATTAAATTAAATTAAAAAGAGAATAGTAAATAACTTAGTGTGTATTGCAGTTCATGTCCTAAATGCGAGAATGCTGTATGTAAATGATATGCAAATTAATATGCAAATTTATGCTAATTAGACCGCCCACCAGCTAATTTGGATTGTGGAGAACACTG